AAAACTGACCCCAGGATTCAAGGAGTGCTCTCCCCAGTGCCCAGCCCAAGGGTACAGTCCCTGCCCGAGTCCTCATGTCCTAGATCCCGGTGGAGATCTCTTATTTTAGCAATGCTTGTGTAAACTGCTGTAAAATTGCTGATTTTCTAATAATCCATCTTGGTCTATTCCCAAAGTGAGACTGTTTAAAATCTGAGGCTTTGAAATTAAATCTTTCACTGTGGGACTCTTTCTCTTGGGACATTTGAAGTTACTGTGGAATTTTTACTGTTGTGCAGCTTTTTACCTTCTTTAAAGCATAAACCAAAGGCAGCACTGCCAACATGATGTGATTAATTAATCCATAGTCTTGCAGTCAACTCGTAGTGACTGTCTTCGGTAGCATTGGGTCTGTTCTTCCTTCTACACCCAAAATCAACAAAAAAACCCACACAAGAATGGGTTTTTCTTGGCATGTTTCTTCTTCCCCAGTTCAAAGAAAAATGAGGGGATCAATGGGTTTTCCTTGGCATATGTTGATTCTCCTGCAGCTTTTGGAAGCGTTAAGGTGCCCGGCGGTGGCTGGAGCTTCCGGGAGCAGAGGGGTGAGGCCAGATCCAAGTGGGCAGGACGGGCTGTGCCACCCCGGCGTGGTTCAGCTCCAGTGAGCTGGATCCAAATGATCCCAGCAGGGCTCCAGGGCTGCTCAGTCGGCCTCTGCCACAGGGCGTTGGACAGGAGGGGAAGGAGCTGAGAGAACAGAAAGTGCTGGAACAGGGAGGTAAAAAGCAGCAGGAAAATTGAGAGCAGAAGGATTGTCTGATTGTGTTGCCTTGGTGATAAAACACCCTGAAGGGAAGGGTCACCCCACCCCACCAGCAGCCAAAGCTTAGAATCAGAGTCACTGAATCCTTCTGGTTGGGAAAGACTTTTCAGATAATGGAGCCCAACCACTCCCCCAGCACTGCCAGGTCCCCACTGACCCATGTCCTTCAGCACCACATCTCCATGGCCTGGAAACCGCTCTAGGGATGGGGACTCCACCACTGCCCTGGGCAGCCTGGCACAGCCCTGGACAACAATCCAGGGCAAGAAATTGTTCCTCAGGGCCAACCTCAACCTCCCCTGGGGAAACTTAAGGCCGCTTCCTCTTGTCCTGTCCCTTGTTCCTTGGGAGAAGAGACAGATAACTACCACCTGGTTCCAGCCTCCTGTCAGGGAGCTGTGGAGAGCCAGAAGGTCTCCCCTGAGCCTCCACAGCTCCAGGCTCAGCACCCCCAGCTCCCTCAACTGCTCTTCCCCACACTTGGGCTCTAGACCCTTCCCCAGCAGCTTCGTTGCCCTTCTCTGGCCATGCTCCCAGCCCTTCCAGGGCCTTCTGGGAGGGAGGGGCCCAAAACTGACCCCAGGATTTGAGGGACAGCCTCCCCAGTGTCCAGTGCAGGGGGATGATCCTGCCCTGCTCCTGCTAATCCAAGCCAGGCTGCTGGTGGCCTTCTTGGCCACTTGGGCCGACGCTGCCTCATCTCCAGCTGCCTGTCCACCAACCCCCAAGGTCCTTCCCCTTGGGCAATTTCCAGCTACTCTTCCAGCCTGGAGAGCTGCAGGGGGTTGTTGTGACCCCAGAGCAGGATCTGACCTTTTTTAACCTCATCCCTTTGCCTTTGGGGAACGTGGCCTCGTCCCCTCTGCCCAGGGCAGGGGTGGAGTCCCCATCCCTGGAGGGGTTTCCAAGCCATGGAGATGTAGTGCTGAGGGGCATGGGTCAGTGGGGACCTGGCAGTGCTGGCTCAGTGGTTGAACTCCATGATCTGATAGGTCTTTTCCAGCCTAAATGATTCTGCGATTCCATGAAAGCCTGCAAACAGCACGTAGAAGTTGTTTCAGATTATTTGGAATTTTACTTCCCATTCTGTGAAGCATTCAGAGGTAGTAACAATATTGTGTATTAGAGATGGGAGCCCTGGTGCTGGTTGTGGTCGGTGGGAAGAGGAAAGTTCCTTGCTCAAAGGAGCCAAATTAATCCCCTTGTCTGAGGAGCCTTTCGCTTCTCTTTGAAGATGACCTGCAGGGAAAAGCCACTTTTTCTGGTTTTAGACTTTTTTCCCCATACATTTCTTCCCAGGAATGGAGATTTGAATTCTTCTGGTCAACCTGTATCTTCCAAAGCAAAGTTGTAGGAAGTAGAAAGGCTCCATTTCCATCTGAGCTGAATTTTCCTTAGTTTGCATATCTGTTTGTCTTCAGCGAAATGCGCTGACGAGGGAGAAGGTTTGTGAGGCCCTTGTGTGGTGGAGCTGAGAGTGGTTGGCTCTGTGGAGGGGGTAGGAGATGACTCAGGTGGAGGTGGGGCTGGCAGGTGTGTCTCTGTGCACCACCTCGACTTGCCTTGGCTTCGGGCACGGTGCCGCGGGGCCGGGCGGGGAAGGGCAGCGCCGGAGGAGACGGCGGAGGCAAGAAGAGCTGTGGGAGCCCTGGGTGGGTGGGTGGAGAAGGAGCCGTGCGAACACGTCAGCCGGGCGCTCTTCTCCAAACGCCGAATAAAAGGGATTCAAAATGAGGTATCTGCAGCAACCTGCCAGAAGCTGCTTCTCAGAAGAGGATGTTGTGATAATCCGTCCGGAATGGGAAGCGGCGCCAACGTTAGAATTGTTTATTTCTGGAGTGTTGGATTTACTAGGGAATGTTTTCAAAGAATGATTGAGCTCTTCTGTGACGGGTTGGATGATGGATCACGTGGCGGTGTCTGTGAAGATAAGGGGAGATGGTGACTTGGATGCCTGCTGGGTGTTTGGAGAAAGGTCCTGTCCCTCTGCCCTGTGGCAGAAAGCCCCTGCACTGTGGCCAGGAGAAGAGCATCTCTGTCCTTCCCCTGTGCAGGGCTGTGGGGCAGCCCCCAGAGCCACCCCCATCCCTTGATTTGCTTTACAGCTTTAGGTTTCATAGAATCGTGCCACAAATTCACAGAAAGCTTTGGGACGGAAGGGACCTTAAAAATCATCCCATTCCAACCCCCAGCCATGGGCAGTCGTGCCCCCCACTAGACCAGGTTGCACAAGGACCCATCCAACCTGGTCTTGAACATCTGCAGTGATGGAGCATCCACAACTTCCTGGGCAACCTGGGCCAGTGTCTCACCACCCTCAGAGTGAAGAACTTCGACCTCATTTCTAATCTAAATCTTCCCTGTTCCAGTTTGAACCCATTACCCTTTCTCTTATCACTACAAGGTCTTGTCAAAAATCCCTCCATAGTTTTCTTGTAGGCCCCCTTCAGATACAGGGAGGCTGCAAGACGGTCTCCTTGGAGCCTTCTCCTCTGCAGGCTGCCCAAGCCCAACTCTCTCCTGCTGGGCTCCCAGAAGAGGGGTTCCCCCCTCGGGGCATTGCTGGGGCTCCTCTGGCCCTGCTCCAGCAGGTCCCTGTCCTTGTGCTGTGGGCTTCAGAGCTGGATGCGGTGCTCCAGGTGGGGTCTCTTGCAAGCAGAGTAGAGGAGAAGAAGCCCCTCCTGCAACCTGCTGGCCGTGCTGCTGGGGGTGCCACCCAGGGTATGGTTGGGAGCTTTCCACTTCCCAAGTGAGCAGCCAGCCCCCATGCACCCTTCCCCGTTGCCCCAGCTCTGGTGATGTGACACATGTATTTTGGCTTGTGATCATAGAAGGGTTTGGGTGGGATGGGACCTTCAGAGGTCACCTAGTCCAACCCCCTGCAGGGAGCAGGGACATCTGCAACTAGAGCAGGTTGCTCAGAGCCCCGGCCAACCTCCCCTGGAATGGTTCCAGGGATGGGGCAGCAACCACCTCTCGGGGCAACCTGGGCCAGGGGCTCACCACCCTCAGTGCCAAAAATCTCTCCCTTCTCTCTGTCCTGAATCTTCCTCTTTGAGTTCCAAACCAGCAGATACTGAACAGTGAGTTGCTCTGAGTTTGTCCAAGCTGCTCTTCCTCATGTTTCAGCTTTCTCAGCATGTTCTTCTTTGAGGTTTTACTAAATAGTAAACAGTAAAAATTTCTGCTTGAATCATGGTTTTGGTTCTTGTTCAGCCCCTAACCCCCACGACTGACTTCCTTTCTCTCATGCATCTGTGCTTTTTTTTTTTTTTTTAAGCAGCTGTGTTTTCCCAGCCATTGAAAATAGGAGTTTCCACATTGGGCTGTAATTCTGATGCAAAGTTTTGCAACTTGATGATGTGATATTGATCTGCCCTGTCTCCGTGATCACAGTCAAGCTGCTTTTTTTCCTCTTAAATATCAACATAACTCATTTTGTTCCCTTTGTGAGAGCTGGGCCACACTTCTTTCTAACACTGTCCTAACTTCTTGTGTCCAGCTTTGGTGCAGAGTTAATCATTGCTGTGTTAATCGTCATCTTCTTCTGAATTCATTAGTGTCCCTGGTTCTCTTCCAGTAACTCGTCACAACCATCTGAAGGACTTCATGCTGGTGGTGTCCATCGTCATCGGAGTGGGTGGCTGCTGGTTTGCCTACATCCAGAATCGCTACTCAAAGGAGCACATGAAGAAGATGATGAAAGACCTCGAGGGACTCCACAGAGCTGAACAATCTCTCCATGACCTTCAAGAGAGGTAGGTTTTCTGTGTCCACCTAGTTGGAGCATTCAGCTCCTCACCAGACTTGGTCATTGGTCATTACTGGTTCAACAAAACAGTTTCTGAATTTCTGGGAAGACCTGACCCCCTTTAGTCCTGCTACTTCTGGCTGGTGAGTGCTCTCCTCCCTACACTCAACACTTGGCTGCCTTAAAGAGCAAAACATCCAACTGAGCCCAAGAGGATCCCCACCCCCAAAATTAGTGTCACTCTGTCCCTAAGGGGCAAAAAGAGCCTCATAAAGGAGGGTAAGATAAATCCACCTCATGGAGAATTTGCCATCCAAGCTCATCAGGTTGTTTCACCCTGGCTTCTGCCAGAAGAAAAGCATGTTGAAGCAGCCAGAGGAATTATACATCCCCTCTGGAATTCTTGGAGCTGTAGGTCAAAGTCCATCCTTCCCTGCTTCCAGGATGATACCTAAATCCAGGAGTGTTGCCTAGGAAGAATGAAAAAATTTAATCATTTTGGAGTATTAAATATGAATATCTGAACTTGAGGCACTTGGAAGAATCCTCCCTTTAAGGAAAAGAAAGATCATCCAAGCCTGTAGATGAGAAACCTCTGGTGGTTTTTGGCAAGAAGATATTTTTTAAGGGTTAGATTTAGCTAACAGTCTTGGTTTTTCACGATTTTCATTAGTTTTAAGTGTAATTCTGGCAGATAAACCTGAATCTGGCTGCTGTCTAAGCTGACGGGCATGTTCCCAGTGGCTTCTCCGAAAGCAGAGCCTGGCCCTGGATTCACGTGCTGGCTTCTCATGGGTGGTGTGACCTGTGCCAGCACCAGGATCCCGAGGACATCAGTCTGTGGTGGAGACTTGAGAACAGCCAAGTCTGTGGAAACCATGTGACGTACCCACAGGATTGCAGCTTGATTTCATGCCTGCGTGTTCGTGGGAGCCTCCAGGGAATTGTCCCTTATGTGAGCGTGTTGCCAAAGGCTTTTCTTCATCAAGTGCAATCACATCATCTGGTGGCTGCATGGAGGGCAAACACCTGAATTACAGAATCACAGAGAATGGTGGAGTTGGAAGAGACCTCTGGAGATCATCTCTTCCAACCCCCCTGCTCCAGCAGGTCACCCACAGCAGGGTGCCCAGGCTCACATCCAGGTGGGAT